TATTGCCTTCATCTCTCTGTCTCCACCTTCAGTAGCCACCATCACCACCGACCAGCCCAGGAGTGACCCAGCCTACGCAGCTCGGCCCAGCTCTCCATCTCCTTGCCTCCTGTTGTTGGTCAAACACCCGGCTACTACTCATCGACAGGACTACGCACTATTTCCCTCTGTGTATTGTTACCCTCATCATCACTGTACATAGTAAATCACTGCTTGCACCAAAGTCGGCTACCTGGGTCCGCCTCTTTCTCGTTCGCTCACTGACAGGTGCGAACGGCACTAACAGGTCTAGTGGTTAGGATTCCTGGTTTTCACCCAGGTGGCCTGGGTTCAACTTGTGGTATGGGAATGAAATTATTGGGTTTGGTTTCTGCTTTCTCCCACCCACACGCTGAAGTGTCTTTGGGCAAGACCCTGAACCCCAGGCTGCTCCCGACAGCCAGAGTGGTGCCTTGCGGGGACAACACTGCCATCGGTGAGTTGGCCTAGGGCTCCTTTGGTACTGTACAGGTTCCTTTTGTGTGTAACATACTTGGCCAATAAAAGTGATAATCATTAAGTTTTTTGTCTGGAATTAGATAAATGAAGAAAGAGGATGCAATGATATTTAATGTTGTCCTGACAGCTGCATACTGGATAGTTCATCTGACTGTGGAGATTTGAGTTAACAACCACTAAACTGTAAAAGAATTCAGAATGAGCTGGTTTAATACCTGGGAAGTCTCTGGAATATACAGTCTGCAATCTCCACATGCTGCACATTGTATATGGTCAAAACAGGAAGTGCTGTTGATGATGTGGATATATTACCATGGAAATGTACAGTCTTAGGAGCTGTGCTTGGCAGACCAGGGTGTGTGTGTGTGTGGGAGGGTACGTAGGTGTTGTGTAAGGGTTACTGTACTTTAAAAGTGTGTGTGACACATTTTATGTACATTTCTATGCACGCTTTGGTGACTGGTGGCAATAGCAAAGGGCCCAAGTGCTAACCTTCTATCACTGAGAGCACCCAGTTTACTGAGAGGCCTGGTGAGTCACCGAGTAGACTGACCTAGCCTAAGGATAACTTCCACCAGGCTGCTATGTGGTGATTCATCTGCTGGCAAAATGGCTGACGTCCTGTTTCCTCCTTCATTTCTATCCATAGAAATTTGCCCTCTGCGGTGTGCTGTTCCCTTTTCACAGTTCCATGTAGGACGGGGAGGCATTTGGGCGCACATGCTACTTGTGTGGAACAATTATACTTGTGCCAGGTTTCCAAATGGAAGACTCACGAGTACTTTGTACTTTGTGTTCTTTTGATTCTTAATTGTAATCTAGCAGCCTCGGGCTTGATCTGTATAGAAGGGAATAGTGCTGAGGTAGCACTAAAGTGTACACCAGAGGACGTTTGTTAACATTTTAACAAACTGAGAAATGTGTAGCTGTCTGTGCTCATGTGTAAACCTCAAGAAAAAAAAAAAACATCTACTGTACTGTGTGTGGGAACACAACAGCAGCCAAACAACACTGAGTACTTTTCAGTTACAAAACAAAACAAAAACAAAAAAACACTCCACCTTAGAGAAATACAGCAACTTGCGCATCAAGCCTGAGATGAATATGAGCTATGTGGTTGATGACTCAAGCATTAAACAGGGCCTAGGGTTATCTTATTCCCCCTTCAGATCTCTGGGTCAGTACAGAATAAAAAGTAGAACAATGTAAGAAGCACAACAGACTTTCTCCACCTAACCTGGCTGACTAAACAAATATTGTTGCCTTGTTTGTTGTTATAGCAACTGCAGTAAGCATCAAACTGTGGAACGTGACACATGATGATGGTAATCTTTCACTGTCTTTTCTCTCTCACCGTTCCTCCCTTAGTTATAAAACTACTGTACCTGTTGCCCGCATAAGGACAAGCCTGCCCTAAATGCACCATAAACAAAGCCAGTTTGAAACACTAAACCACCACAGGACAGGCAGGCACCGACCAACAACTCCACGCTGATAAACCCAGTAAACAGATGTGCCCAGTGTTTGCTCGCTAAGTGTGTAAATGGGTCATTCTCAGCATTCCTACTTTGAACACTGACATGAGAAGAGGGAGTGAACATTTTTATCTGTTTCAACATGTGAACTGGAGAAATAGGCCTGAGGAAACACAAAGCGCAAACTCCAAAAAGCATTTTCGCTCTCTTTTTTCTCTCCGTCTCTATCTCGCACATGCACGCGCATCTCAACATGCCTCACTAAACCAACACAAAAATTGATCCAGCATACCTCTTCAGTCTATTTATTTTCTGTGATAATTCGGTGTGAATGGAGTGAGAATACCTGAAAACAGGTTTGGATGGATGAGCCAGTAATCTCTTGATGCTCCTGTCAGCAGCCATTTTTGTGAGATTACCACACACACACACAGATTAAAAGCGAACACAGAGCACGACTTGTGTCATCACACCTCAGCGTGACTTTTCAATGCTTAACAAAAGTCAGCACAAGGTCAGGTGAATGCAAACCCCATCTGAGAACCCAGCAGCATGTATTCTCCCTTTTTCTGTATTCACTGGTGGAAAGTAACTAAGTACATTTGCCCAAGTACTGTGCTTAAGTGCAATTTTGAGGTATCTATACTGGTGTATTTTCATTTTCTGCTAAATCATACTTTGGCTTCACTACACTGCAAGTAAGTATTGTACTTTTTAATCCACTACATTTAATAACTTTAGTTACTAGTTACTTTCCAGAATCAAATTAACTACACAAAATACAATATAATTATCTGACTTTATTGATCCCTGGTGGGAAATTCACGAAACACCCAGCAATACTTTAAGCATATAAGGTAAAATTAGCTCCACCTTTACAAGATGAAGCATTAAATGTGATGTACACAATAATGTGTCGATATTTATTCTCCACCCACATGTAATCTTTGTATGAGAAATTAGATTAAAGGATCGTTAACTGCAACTTCAAGCACCTGATTCATTCTGGGAATGTATGGGCCTTAAGTGGTGTTCTGGCCGACACACCGAGGTGACCATAGTGTCATAAGGACTGACCAGTGCCATAGACATTTGGAGTTTTCCTCACTCACATTAATTAATATATATTAATGTGAAATGCTATTCTGCATAATGAGTAGTTTTGCTTTTAGTACTTTAAGTATATTGTGATGCCAGTACAGTTGTACTACTTAAGTAACATTTTCAATGCAGGGCTTTTACTTGTAACAGAGTATTTTTGCACTGTGGTATTGCTACTTTTACTTAATTTGTGTACTTCTTCCACCATTGGCTGTGTTTTATACAGCAACCCTGCTAGACAAACAAGTCCACTGAGGTCCTCGTCATCTGTTCCCACTGCCTTAACGTCTGTGGTCATCTTGAGTGGAAAACCCAACAATAAAAGCACTATGTTGTTCATACATGAATTACACCTTTACAAACAGGCATTCACCCCCTGTAACATATACAGTGCAAACAAACATATGAACAGAATGACGCCTTGGCCATATGGCTAGTGTAACAAGATGAAGCCTATAATAAGAAGCACGCCTGCACAGAGATACCACAAAACACTAGTACTAGAGGCTTTTCCCCTCAAATTATAACCACATGTCGGAATATTCCTGCGAAGTGACTCACTCTGAATGAATCAAGGCAAAGCCTGTAAAGGTAAAGCTTAAATCGACACTTATAGGTCAAAGCTGCAAAAATAATGATCTGTGTGTCTGTGAATTTATCAGAGGACATGTTGTAGCTGTCTTCCTGGTTCAGCTGCGCTTAGACTGAAGGCAAGGATTTTGTATTATCTCATCAGTAATCTTTAAATTGACACTGACATTCATAGCATCGTGCAACCATGGCATTAGACATGCTTGTAAAAGTGTCACTGCCTTTAAAGCACTATTTATTACCCCTACAGTACTGACAAGAGCTCTACACACGCCGCCTCCCCAAGCACTTTTTCTCTGGCTTGAATGTCTTCAAAGGGCTGGAAAAAGAGCAGCACAGTTCACCAGTGACAGCCAACCGAGCCTTCTGTGTGCTTAGACTGTAATAACAATACTGTTCAGGTTTTGCAATGCACAACAGCCATCTGAATGACTTCATCCTCCATAATGTCAGGCGGGTGATGAGGAAAGTTACCCGCATTCACTTTTGTTCCACTCACATTAATGGAGTAATCCACAGAGCAGAATAAAATAGAAGAGAACAGACATAAGAATATGAATAGACCATAATAAAGCAGAATAGGGCACAAAGCCGGATTTAAAGTATAATACTGCAGAACAGAGTTGAGCAGGATACAGGTAACGCAGAATAAAACGTCAGGACACAATAAAACAGAACAGGACATGATCAGGACATCATACAGGCGACAGCTAGAACAGAAGTAAACTGGATAGGACTCAAGAGCACAGAAGAGAGGATCGAGGCTAAACAAATAGTTCCTTTGTCTTATTTGCATTTTGTACAGATCGTCTTTGTTTCCACTTCGTACCTCCTGACCTGTCTGCAGAACTTGTCTCTTCTCTTTGTACTGACTAGGATCCCGGTGGAACCCGCCGATTTGCGTCTCCTTCCCCTCCGTACGTCACATTCCTCAGATCGAGCAAGAACTCCACCCAAACCCCCCGGTGTGCACCCTCCGCGTCCAGGCGGCAAAGAAAGGCGAGGCGAGGCAACTCTTTACTCCAGGCCTGGGCTGAGTGCTTCACTCGGCGGTGTACGAACCTCCGGACCCGCCGCCACTATGGCAGAGAGCAGCGCGGCGAATGAGGAAGAAGCGGGCACCTCCTGTTAGGCAGGACTTTCCCACCGGTGAGACTCCTCCCAAGTTGTTGATCGCTGGGAACGACGCGACCATTTGAAACTCGCCGGCGGTGGCTTATTTCAAAAGTGCTGGCGTTTATGTCATGGTTGCTATTTGGTGTTTTATATAATCTTCATGATTGAAACAAGAAAGTTTCTCCAAACTCCGCAAAAATATTTGTGCCAATTGCTGTGGTGAAATATTATTTAGTAAAGTAAAAGTAGCAATACCACAGTGTTAAAATACTTTGTTACAACTAAAAGTACTGCATTCAGCATTTTATTTAAGCTAAAGTAAAGATTCTTATATTAGCATATAAGAAGTTCCAAAAGTAAAAGTACTCATTATGCAGAATGGTACATTTCACATTCATGTATATGATATTACTTGATTATAATAGATCGTGTACATCTCATTTAATGTTGCAGCTGGTAAAGCTGGAGCTTATGTTAACTGCTTTATACTGTATAGTTATACTCTGCCTTCTTTAACATATGACTTTTTCCCCAGGTAATCATTTAAGTCTTACAAATGCAGTGGAGTAAAAAAATACATATTCACTTCTGAAATTTAGTGAGGCTGAAGTATGAAGTCTGGCTGCATTAAAGCTGCATTATGTAATTTATGATAGAAGAAATAACAAATAAAAAGCTGAACTTACAGTCAACAAAATCCACCATTTTTCAGTTCAGTACACACTGCGATTTTGCTTTAATGGCCTTACTTAGTCCATGGTGACTGCTAGCTTATGACGGTTGATATAGGCTTATAACATTAGATGTGTAACTGACATTAGTGTTTCAGTTTACAATACATTTTTACATTTACATTTCAGCATTTACCATTGCCCTATAATGGCCACTTGGGTGCCCCAGTGCCCACCCCACCTCCTTATCAAAAGTTCACTGTAAGGCAAAAATGGTTTGAAGATCACGTTCCCATCTGAAATATTGTGTAAAAAAATGAGTCACCCAGTGTTTTTATCCATAGCAAAAAACCTCACGCTGAATCAGCAGACTCCAGCAGTTCCCTTTTGTACTCTGTTGTAGAAGAAGCCTCTGTAAAGCCAGCCTCCATGCTGCAGGCTGCACCATCCAGTTATGCGATGGATTTGGGAAGCCTGTTGTTGAACACCATGCAGGCATAGTGCAGCTTAAGTGTATCCAGGGTCACTATTTGTCTCATATGCCCCATGCAGGTAAATAAACCAGGTGATGCTGGATTTAGCTGTTTGTTCTCAATTATAAAAGGTGAATGATTATTTAATGTGCTCATTAATCTTCTGTTTGACCAAGTTAATTCCAACATTCACTGGTTGTGTAGTATGAAGAAATCAGTGTTAGTATCTGTTTCATTCTCTTTTTGTTTTCCTTTATTTTCATTTACTTGTCATTACTTCTCCTTTTACATTCTCAGTCTCCTTCACTTTGTGTCACTTACTTATACACAAATACACAAGCAATCATGACATGACTACAAGGCATAATACAGGGAAAAGTATACACCACTGTGTGTGCACATTATATGGGCCGTCCTTTGTCCTGAAACGTGTCTGTCAGACAGATTATTAGCTAGATAGCAACACACGCACACACACGTGTAACTGTGTTCAGTCCTGCTTCTAAAGGTGTGGTTCCTGTTTAAATGTCTGCCTGATCACCCATGTCCTACTGAGCTGCTGCACACACACACTGACTTTGGGAGCTATATAATTCTGATCTCTTCCTGTGCCTGTTTACTCTTTTCCAGTTCATGCAAATCTGAAACTCTCAGCAGGATATGAAATGAGAGTTGAGTGTTTGCATATGTGTGCAAGTGTCACAAGGTGATAGTGTGCAATAGAAATTAATATCAAAATGTGAAATGATGTCCAGTGAGAGGAATATGAGTGCTCCGAGGGAAAGCGGCACAAGACTCTGCTTACATGAACTTGCTCTGATAACAAACATTATGGCAGGTATACGGACGCTGAAACTCAGGGTGCGGCCGCTCAGAGGAATGTGCTCAAGGCATCTTACCACACCCAATCTCTTTCACCATACCTCCTCCCCTCTATCTCTTTGCCCTCCTGGCTTGGTCTCTCTCTCTCTCTCCAGGCTCTCCTCCCTCTGAGTCACCTGGCAGCCATTGAACAGGTGTACAGGTCCAGACAGAGTTCAGGTAGCACCTAAATCCCGGCCTGGATCTCAGCACGACTGGCAGAGGAGTTTGCCTCATCTGGGACAATCTGATCCCAAACAATCTTTACTGACATGATTGTTAGAGGTCTGTATTTATATTGCAGTTATTGTCAGGTTTGCCCGGTGGCACCTGCCTCACTTCTTTTCCTCGCACTAGCCAGCTCCCTTGCACTGATTGCACGATTAGACACACCTGCCTCGATTCACTGATTCTCACCAGCTGCGCCTCGTTCCTTATTTATACGCTGCTCACTGATCACTCCCCTGCTAGTTCTTTCTCTGTCTTCAGGTCCCCCATGTATGTTACCGTTTTTGTTTGCCTTTGTGCCTAGTATGCTTTTTATTCTCTGTTCTCTTCTGCGCTTACCCGAGTTCATGTCC